GAAACTTTTCTCAATTTCTTTTTCGAAATTCTATGCAAAACTATTTAAAAACAATTGTAACTACTTTTATAAATTTCTTTCGTTCACTTTCTATACGCTTAACAAGTAAGTACGAAAACTAAAGTGAAGCTATAAAGCCACAATCATTATAACGCGAATCTCTAATGCTGTACTATGCTCAACTATGGCAATTAGATAAATAGGTTGTAATAAGGAAATGTTGGCGCGTCAGTAGATCGTACGAAGCTTACTTGTGTTATATGCTAGAGATTTATCCGAGGAGCTGTAGTTTCTCATTGCCAAAATTCACTGACCCCAAGATTTCTATTTTTTTATAGCATACGCCGCTTATGAGAAAGAGGGATCAGATGCGTCATCTAGGGGGGACTTGAGATGGGCCCACCTTTTCTTATAACGTTCGCTTTCGAATTATTCACGGATTTGATCTAAGCTTGTTTGTCCGTCTGCCTACCTATATCTACAGTCCGTTATTTTTGAAATATATCGCTGAAAATTAGTTGCTTAGGTGTTTTGATCGAAGGACCGCATTCCTCTTCGAACATTTTCCACACTTTTTGTAAAAACTTGTTACATGCACGATTGTTAAGTTGTCTAGGATAAGTAATGATGTGGGTGGGCGAGAGTTTGTGGTTCACTGTAACGTTTTCATTTAGTTAGTTATCTCTACGCTTGCGAGCTTAAAAATTCTAAAAAAAAAAAAAAAACGCATACAGACGTACGGAGATCAATGAATTTTCTCGCAATCAAGAACCGAGAATTTAAGAATATGTGTTTGCCTTATGTAAGTTTTGCAATGTTACAAATTAAAGTATAATATCAAGTATACGTCCCGTTTGACCCGTATCTTCGCACTTATGTAATGGAAAAACTTTTAAAGTGAATGTAAATAAAATAATTTTCGATATTGATTCAAAAATTTTAAATTGCACACACACAAGTATGAACACAAGCAGTCATTTGAGAAAAAGAAAAAGAAACAAAGAAAGAGAAATTAAGAAATTCACATACAATTACAAACAAACAAAGTTATTGTTGATCAATTTTCATTATTGTTTTTGTCAATTTGTTCTATTTGTGTGTTTATGTATACTTGAAATCTTTCATTTTCCTCTTCTACAATGTGCCCCCCCTCACTCTCCACTGCCGTGCTACGCAATTCTATATATATATGTGTTCGGATATGATTTGCAATACAAGTTTTGGCTAAGAATTTTATTGTTATAGTTGTTGTTGTTGTTGTTGCTATCGTTGGTTTAGAGTTCAGTTAAATGATACCACAAAAAGTTAATCATGAGTTATGAACCGTAGATAAAATGGTCATATCTCGTTATCGTTTACAAATGAAAACTATACCAGAATTTAAATTTCATTAGAAAACCAATTATCTCGTAAGTAGTCGTATTAATAATCATTTCATTTACCAAAAAGGTAAAAACATTATCGACATCACGTCAATGATATAATTAGAAAAGTTTCGCAACACATTTCAGCAACAACGCGAAAAGGCTTTTAGGCAAATCAATCGCTTATGATTAAATATGATTTTGTTATTAAAGTAAAATATTATCTCACTTAATGCTTGCAGTCAGTCAATTAAGTGGATTTCGCGATAAATCTCCTCATAAAACATATGTTGGGACTTGGGTAGGATTTGTTTTTGATATGCACATTGAGCTGAATCTTATTTTAATGCTAGATGTTATTAGAAGAAGATCCAAAGCAGAGCATAGTCCGTGTTGTGTGGTCTCCTTCCCCCAGGTACTATGTCGCAAATCTTGCTCTTTGCCCTTAGGAATGTTAGGAATGCTGTTGTTAGCCTTGCCGTGGATTTATTCTTGACATTTACTGCTCGGTTATGTTAATAAATGATATCAACACACCTTGACTCGTCAACATTACTTGGCGGAATGAACTGCAATGTTCCTTAGCGTTTCTCTAGGAACTTCATTTTCATAAAATCCAGCCAATGTAGATATACTTGAGGACTTTCCAAATCGTATGGGTAAAGGATCGCATTTGAGAATTCGACGGTTGCGGGTTCAAATCTCAAGTGCGCTAGAGTTTGCAGTTCAGGCGAACAATCTAAGCGATCTAAGTTATCTGGCAGCCATATCCATATATGTACATAATAAGCAAAGTAAAAAAAAAAAAAAAAAATTATTTATTGTATACCTTGTAATATTAGGTGGACATGGTCGATTTTCGGTCGTCCATTTTTGTAGAATAAGTTTGTGGAAATTTCTATCGCGTATCTGTTGCTTTGTCGAGTGAAACATTGTCCTTGAGAGTAATCTTCGATTTTGGTCCTAGAATCCTTTCTTTATTTTCATATTTACTTGTTGCCGTTTTGACTGTGCCTGCTTACAAAGATTTGAACTGAACTTCTTTACTACTATTGGCTGCCAAGCTTTTGCATGGATTCACTCCCAACTAGGAACCGTTCAGGCTATTAATGTGCCTCTCTAACCGATGTGTGTATGCTTTTCTTCTCTCCCTTGTTTATTTATACATGACTTTTATTCTTTTTACTTTATTTTTCTTTCCTTCTTTTTTTTTTTTTAATACTTTATAACAGTCATTAATAATACTTAGGCTAACATCTATTCTGGCTCTTAATCTATTTTAGCTGAATTTCGTATCTAAATAAACAAATAAATAATTCAAATCAGTTACTTACTCGTACTTCGTACCTCGTACGAGCATAAGAAATTTTTTATTGCTCCTAGAGCAAAAACCGTAGCAAAAAAGCTTTAATTATAATTACCTTTACCGTCTCCCATTGTTAAATGCATTGACTTAAACTGTCGAGGGATATTAATTTTATCTTGAAAAGTGAAAATGGCATTCAACTCTTTGCGGTCAAAGTCGCCACAGTGACGACCATTGCCAAATCGTCGTAGAAATCATTGTCGGCACTCTGGCGGCACGATGTCATGAAGAAGAAGTGACGTTACTGTAACAAACTAAAAGTTAGTGGCTTTCGGACTACATATATTTTTTTATGGAAGCAAAGGAAGGTAGGAAGGAAGGATAGTATAACATTCGAGGAATTTATCAAACACGGAAATATATATATATATATATACGAATAATATAGGAATGGTACTTGGATGATAATGTGATCTTACAGTTTGAGGCGACGACGCTTTTTTAGAACTTGATTCGTCAACTTCTACGTAACGACTGACTCTTGGCTACAACGTTACTTCGTTCATTTTACTCTTCGCGATCGGCTCTATGTTGTAGCCTACTTTCCCTTCACATACACTCAAACTTAAACCTATCTTTGTGCGATGGATAGCGACCGCATAAAAGAAAACGCATAAAAAAAACCGCACAATACTTCACGAGTAGCTATAAAAAAAGTTTCCGCAACACAATTACAAAGAGTTTTTTTTTATGCGGTGAATAAGGACCGCATAAAAAAGTCTCTCGTAGAAAATAACTGAAAACCTTACCAAGGAATAATTAGGAATTGCTTTTTTAAGACACGAGACTTGGCAGCACATGTGAACACTTCTAAATATTTTGTTTACATATATACTTATCTTACAGATATACCACTTTTCAAAACGTCTAACCATGATGCTTCGTAGTCTGACAATAGGCGAACTTTCTTGTGGTAAACAGGTTCAAAATTGCTTTCGTCACTTGAAAAAACCTATCTCACGTACTCGTTTAGACTTGACTCTTTTTATTTTCATTTTTATCACGTAGTCGGTGATCAGTTTTAGCGAAGACTGTTATGTCTCGGTAGCCAGATATACAAGTTTGAAGTCCCTATTGGAATTTTATAAGTTCTTTCAGTATTAGCATCGGTTGCAAAAAAATTCTATTCAAATTGATGGCACAGTTGGAGTCCGGCATAGATTTTCTCTTCTGTCATATATTTGGGTTCTTCTTGGTCATCAGGAATCAGGCTTTATCCTAAATCATTTCGACAGGATCATTTTTTACCGTAAGCATTAGACCCGTTTCCGTCAATTATGTTCAAATTTGATCGAAACTTTTATATACCGTATAAAAAAAATCGCACAAAAACAGATTTGAGTGTATATAAATTTTTTTTCTAAATGTTATTTTTGATGGATTGAGGCCATTATGTATCCAGCGTATTTAGAGCCTTGTGTCTTATTGCAAACTTTGGTTGAATTCCGTTGATTTTAAGATAAATTTAAGAAAATTTGCTTTGTTAATTAAGAAGAAGAAGTTTGTATAGCGCGCATCCCCTCCCAAAATCGTTCTTCTGCTCACCTATTCGTCTGCCTGTTTATTGCAGAAATAATTTTGATTTAATTTTATAAAACTGATATGAAGAAAGTTTTGGTTGACTTACAAGCGTGCTACTAAAACTAATCAAAAGTGGGTAATGGTAAGAGCTTTAAGTGAACCTTAAAATTTCAATGCAATGACTGATAAGTAAGAAAAAGTTTAGCTTGACATGTGTCAAGTATCCAGCTTTCAACCTTCAAAATTAATTTAATGGATTCTTATTGAAATTTATTCCAAGTGGGATATAACATAATACAGGAGGTCAGAAAACTTTTTTTTTTTTTTTTTTTTTTTTCTTTAAATTCGTCTTCGAAAGCATTTTCAAGGCTATGTTATTGCCTTTTTAATCTTTTCACTTTTTTTTTTGTTTTTTATAAATTTCCGCTTAACGCCTAAGCTTATCCTTGCGTGTGAAAAGGTTAAGATTAATCTGTCTGTGTTGTTGTGTTGCTGTGTTGCTACGCTTTTTGCGTGAACATCTGCGATCAGATCGAGCTTTAAATAAGTCGTTTTAATGCGTTCAGTAGTGCTTGCATCATTACCTTCTTATAGTCACGTGTCAGAGCATTTCACGTTACATGCATGCAAAGAGTTGCCCTATTTCTTGTTTCTCTTTTTAAAAAGATTTTTAAAGTTAAGCTTTTCAAAAATTTAATGATTTAATGATTTAATGATTTGCATATAAACTTGTTTTATACCATTTGCAGTTCGTCTATACCGGCAAGCCCAACAGCAGCAGCATAAATGACATTTAAAAACCAGATATTTTCCATTTGTTTTATATCAAAATAAAACAACATCAACAACAACAATAATACCCCTAAAAAAAAAAGACGAAAAAGAAAAAACGCTGAAAACAAATTAGCTAAGCTTGGCAAAAAAGGTAAAGAGAGCATGAGAAGTACAAGATTGTATATGCACACACAATCGTACATATAAACATATATGCAAGCAAAACTTACGTTCCGAACGAGTGAGAAAAAAGAGGTCAAAGCAAATGTTAACGCGTTTGTTATAATGTAACGTCAACATCGTACAAAACAGCAACAAAAAACACATAATAAATCGTCGACAACAGGCAAAACGGGGAAGAAGTGACATCGTTGCCGATGTCAAGATAAGAGGAAAAATAGAAAGAAAAAAAAAAACGCCGCCACTCGCGTAACAACTAAATTTAAGGCAATCTCTGTTTTTGGAATGTAAACAACAAACAGAATTAAGTTCATGATAAAGTTGATGACGATCGAAACGACACAGTAGCGAGAGAAGGCAACGACAACGCCTGAACGACTTAACGACAAAGACAAAGGCACACACACACACACTCGGTGCCGTCAACATTTCGAGGGAATAATATCAACATTAGCTGGAAGTTACACTAAACGACGACAACGATGCATAAGTTAGGCTGGCTAAGTCTAAGAAGAAGTTGATACCAAACTGGTTTAACAATAATAATAGCAACAACAACAACAACAACAACAACAATAATAATAATAATAATAATAATAATAAGAAGAAGAAGAATAAGAAATATAGTAATAACAATAATAGTAAGTAGAGACAGCTGCAGCAGTTATAACTTGTTTAACAACAACTGTGTCAAATGTGAGCATACAACGGTTAACAACAAAGGCAACAACGAAAGCAACGAAAATAAAACCTTTTCATATAATAGAGGCAATAATAAGCTCTTGTATCGCGTACAACAACAACAACAACAACAACTGAAGTCAGAGTAGAAAAATTGGCTGCTGGTTGTTTATTTCATTTTTTTTTTCCTCTCTATTTATTTAATTTTTTTATTTTTTTTGTTATTTTTTATTATCCAACAACACAAAAGCCCCATGAATTTTCTTACGCTTACTGGCTTTTGCTAAAGCTTTTTTTTTTTTCTGCTTTTTGCTTTTTTTTTTACCATTCACTAAGTCAACGTTACATGAATAGTGAATGGAGATGCGATTTACGGGCATAGAATGCTCAGTTCCGTTTCTTTAACGTACGAGCGAGCATACATACACTCATAAACACCTGCATATCCCGTTTTTTTGTAAACAGCAAAAAAATATAATAAAACGTGTAACGCGCGACGGACGAGCGCACGGGCAGGAAACGAAAGTTGTGTAAAAGTCCCAATGGACGGAGAACAATGTGTGCATAAAAGCATGAAAATGAATTACGACAATAATTAACGAGAATACAACGGCATACAAAATATATATACACACACACACACACACGTGCACGTACGAAAGTAACAAGGATCTCTTCTTTGGCTTCTTTTCTTCATCATCATTTTCTTCGTGTTTTACGTTTCGACTCTGCAAGCTGCTCTACGAACATTAACAAGATAATCAACACCCGCGCAAACAGGGTAATCTGATGCGTAACGAGTAAAACGGAAAAGGAAACAGGAACGAAATCAGTAGCTACTAACAGCCAATTAGCAGCAACAAGAGCAGCAACCGAGAAATTATCAAAACATTATTTACACACGACACACATATCAGTGTATCCTCATCATCATCAACATAACTTGCAAAGTTGAAGCCTGGCGCACTCGTCCTACACCGAGTGCCATTATCATCCAAGTTAATGTAAATTATTGGCAAAAAACAACAAAAAAAAAAACAGACAAAAAGGAAAACATAAAACTGAATTTTTTCTATTGTAACGTAAGCTGTGTGTTTATGGTCTGCAGGAGGCTGGTAAGTGTGTAAGCGTGTAAGCGTGTAAGCGCGTGATTTCCTTTGCCATCTGTTGGTATTCACAACGACAACCCTATAGAGAAGAATTGCCATATATACACATACATACATATATATATATATATATATATATATACATATACATATACATATATATATATATATAGATATCTTTTATCTCATAATGAACATTCTAAATAAAGTGAGCAAAAAATTACGTTGGCTACGTTGGTCTACCATATTTGCCATTTTATTTTATATGTTCTTCATTGGACTCATATTGCACAATACTACATACAAGCTACAGAATTCCCTAAAAAGCCAACCAAGCCATCAGCATCATCAACATAAACAACCATTATTTCAACAGTTGCGGAGCACACATGGCAAATGGCGGGGGAGAGACGAACACCGGAACCAGCCGAATGGAAATAATGTGTTGCCATTAAATTACAAAACAAAAGCATCATTATCACGGACAGTGCAAGCGGCAGCAGCACCCTCGGCATCATTATCATCATCATCGTCATCGTCATCGTCATCATCATTAATGTACTTACCAGTCGACAACGGTGATGGCAGCAGTTCCTCTTCGGTTCGTATCGATGTGACAACACTGAAACGCCACAAAAGCTATGCTTCACCGGAAACTGTTATATTGGTGGCAAGTTCCGTTAATGAAAAGCAAATTTTGGAAAAAGCATTTAGACGGTAAGTCAACACACCAACACAAAAAACAGCTAACATAGATTTCAAAAAAAAAAAAAAAAAAAAAAAAAAAAAAAACTCGAAAAACAAATAAGAATACAGCACACACCTTGAAGCGCACCTTAGACACCCACCTCGGGTTCACTATGTGAAGCTATCGCTCTCAGAAAAAATATTGAGATCAGTGTAGATCTAGTTTTACCGCGGGCAACTTAAGATGGTTAGCACCTTGAGGAATATTTGTCATAGGAAATCTTCTTTTTTTTCGATATATCCTTAGGTTTTCAGGAGTAAGCGAACGTATAAGAAAACTATTTAATAGACTTGAAATGTCTTGAGAGTATTAATAAAAGGCGAACACACGCAAGCAAGTTAGTTAGTTTGAGATTGCGTTCATACGTTTTATGGGATTTTTATTACGCCTTTCTGCGACTTACCAACCGTATAACGTATGAAGCACGACTCTGACCTTGCCTTGGTGAGTATAAAAATAACACATAAAAATTCGCACAATAGGGACCATCAAAATACATATGGGTTATCTACACTACACTACAGGGTAATAGCAAAGTCTTCATACACACTAAAGGTACTGTGTATAGGCAGGTGGTCGCTTGTAACATGTGCCAATGAGAAGTGCGTCTTCAATAAATGCTCGGGAAATTTGTCTGCCCTCTACCCGAAAATGGTCAATAAACGATAAATACAGATCCGTATCCAAAACTAGGCATAAACGCACCGCGTTTCGACCCTTTACGAAACATCCAATCCGAAAGGCTAACAAGAAGCCCACTTTCACGCAGACCAGTTGACAATCTGCAGCAAAGATGTGTGAGAACCTATCATCACAGTCGCAAGTCCAAAATCTTACGCGACTTAATTGGAAGAAGGCTGCAACTCAAAGTCTAACCAAAGGGTTTCCTCGCTGATAACGTCGGTGTTTGTAGCTTTCGGATCGGTCACGTATCTAGGCAGTTTGAAATATTTTATACTGACTGCAGTCGCAGTAAAAGCATATAGTTTTACTGCAAGCAATGCTTGATCTATCGAAAAGCGGTAGAGGTATTCAATATGAAAGACGCCATGTAATATACCTGGGACTGGTGGATGAAATGCGATTTGGTCATGACAATGAGACTCGGACCATCTGTGCAATAAGTGAACAGGTGGCTTTGGCAAATTGAAATATCGCAAATCGGAAAATAGAAATGTTTAGTCCCGATAAAAAGTCTGCCTTGAGGTAGCAAATATCATAACGCAGTGCAATGTCTATTACTCGTTGTTGTCTCCTCATTGTGCTAGCCAGAGTCACAGTCTCGCAAATTCTCTTCCTCCTTACCTTACCTTACGTACACGTTCCTTGCACACGGTACAGGCTTGAGCTAAACACAACGCAGTTACAATTTGAAAAAACATGCGAGGACTTTTGCAAGTCTCTGTACGCACTACTAAAATTTTCATCACCATTTTATGTTTAGGTAAAATTGTCATTTTGTTCTTTTTTTCTGGTTTTTTTTTTTTTTTTGGAAGGTGTGTGTGTTTACATAAATTCTGATATCTGTATATATTGTATATGCAGAGTTGACGTTCAGTTTATGCAAAATTTTCTCACTTTTGGTCATACATTTAAGCTCGCGTGTATGTATGTAAGTAAGTGTTCATATATGTGTGTGTTTGTAAAATTTTATATACATTTATTCAAATTAATATTAAAATGCGCGCCATTAAACTCGCAAAGCAAAGTTTTCTGGTCGACTGTTGGTTGTGTTGTTATCATTTTAACCTAAAATAATTGATTTTTTATTTTATTTTTTTTTTTTGTATTTTTTAAATGAAATGTTTACACACATTCTGATCTATTTATTGTAAACATTGCTGCAAAGTATTAAAATTTTTAAAATATTCGCAAGCACAGTGTTCAAGTGGTTTGAATTTTCACAAGCTACTATAGGCGAGTTTAACCTTCTGCCTCAATTTATCAATGTAAAAAAGACGGACCAACTAAGGCTTAGTCAAAAAAATGCCATAAAAACTTTATCTAAGATCTCTTTGAAGGCTCAGGCTATCAAGGGTTTTTCAGTTGCGTGTAAGTGTTAATGCCAAGTAAAAAATTATTTCAACTTAGAGCTGAAAGCTTGGGAACGGTTTCAACCGGACGCGGTCTACCTGCGCCTTTAATTATTTAATGTCCCTGCGTTTATGATAATCATCCCGTTAGGCAATACCTCAGCTCAGTCAGGATCCGGTCGTGTCGCAATCAGAGGTCGGTATCCTCACCACCTTCGTTCTCGTGGTTCGGCCTATATAATGGACAGATATAAGGAACAGATATAAAAGCAGAAATGGCAGGCATCCAATCACACAACTACGGGCTAGAATAGGTTTACATTTGGCTGATTACGGCCAAGAGCGTGCAACCGATTTTCAAGGTCAAAAGGATGTTTCTTTGAAGATTTTGATATCTTTTCTTATATAAAGCATGCGAGCGACGAGTACGTGTGAAATGGATAGGAGGAGACTTCTCACCGCAACAAAATTGTTAGCACCATTTTTAACAGACACACACGCACATACACACACACACACGCTTTGAGATTTAAAAGTTTAAAGTCCACTTGAAAAAGAACGCGATTCTAGAGACTTTCAAAACCGGGATTATAAGGAAAAAAAGGGCCACACCCAGCCATTTACATTTTAGGGAATTTTCAGTAGAATTCAAAAATTGCATACGTTTTCTCGCAATGAAAAATTGAACTAATTTGAAGAATGTGGCGAAAGGTATTTTATGGGAAATCTTGTGCTTTGCCAAAACGTGATTTCGCTGCCGAATAGGAAATCGATCTTTCGAGGCTATTTACAGAAGTACTTTATCTATATTCATCACTAAAAGACGGAGATAAGCTCATCTTGTTAAAACGTTTGCAACACGTCATCGATTGAAGCGAAAGCCTTCAGTACGACATGAACTAAGAATAGCACTGTTTTCGAAAGCAAAACAATTGAGCTTACACACAACCGTTACACACAACGTACAAGAAATCAAAAAAATAAAAATTTCCAACTATATATATATAGAGCATAGATGACTCTTCCGTACTTTCACAACTCTGGAAAAAATCGGCTATGCCTGTCAAACCTTATAGATTCGGTTCGGTGACGACACAATATTCATCCATTCATCTTGGCCATCGGCTTCAAACTGTGTTCATCTGAAGGAATAATGACTTGTGATAACAACGGCCAGCATAACCGTTTCGCTAAAACTTCGTGAGATTAGGATTTTAGGCATTTTGCGCCCGCTCTTACCATCGTAACGTCAGTTCTTGTTGGTTACGCTCCCTCTTCGATAGTATTATCCGTAGGTTTTTGCTTACAACTCTTCACGGAACTCTGTCTTCATTATTTCGACTGACCTTCACGTACTACAAATTTCTCGTGCATCTCTTCTTAAACACATAAATAGCATAGCCTTGCATTATTTCCTAAAAATTAAACTTGATCTAAAAAATGATTATATAAAAGTTTAAAATAATGTCTGCTTTAATTACGCAAAGCTTTTGCCCAAAAAAAATGCTCTTCACAGTAAAAGAGTTACTTTGCGCAATTTCACAAAAAATTGCTCTTGACTCATGATGCATGATGACAAATTAGTTCGTTAGTCGATAATTCGAAACACATAAACACTTACCCAAAGCAAAGCTGCTGTAAGCTGTCAAAGTCAATGGTAAAATCAAGATGTTTATAGTGTTTGGATGAAATAGTTGAGTGTAGCTTCTCCAACTTAAAGATCTTATTACTAAGGTTGAGATGGAAATGAATCGATCACTTCTTGCAACGGCAGAAATGTCAGAATATGCCCAGTGTGATGATTAGGTGAACTGAGTTCGCTCAGTTCCATCTTCAACATATGCGTCATGGGTGTCGCACTGAATTGGTATTTACTTTAGCCAGCTTCACAAAAAACAAGTGTAAATACTGTGTTAGGCAACCCACCGCAAACACTTCGCTTAATGCAGTTCTTCACACAACGATTTCTCAACATATGGAGCTTCATATGGAGAGTAGTCGAAGAAGTGGCCCGATCCGAAATATTTGCAAAAACATTCAATAACATTCAATAATTACGGTTTATGCGTTGAACACGAGAAAACAAGAAAAACGGACGGACGGACAGACAAGTTTAGATCGTTTCGATATAACAGAAAGTGGATCGATCTCAAGTCCTTCAGTATATTGCTTACATTCGGACAAAGCTAACATTCCTTTGCCTCAGAAATGATGTAGGGTATTGAAAGTCTGCAAGAAGAGAAAAATGTTACTTATAGTTTTCAATCTTGTGCAATTATGCAAAGTAGCGATTGAAGAAATGTGCAATAGAGATTTTTTATAAGAACATAAACGGATCATAGAAAGTTATTCTAAAGTAAAGATCGAATTTTTTTGCAACTTTCCAATTGTAATACTTGGTAGAGTGGACTTGCATGGCTACTCAAGATGCATAAGACGCTTAATATTTGAACTGATATTTTTTTTTATTATTTTTCTCTCTATTGCTTCGAAAGCATTTTAAAATTGAAACCAATTTTCTCAACTGCTTGTTCTTCTCCTTCTTCTGCAAAAAAAAAAAAAAAAAAAAAAAAAAAAAAAAATTTTTACTAAAGAATATTAAAGGAACGCTGATAAATGCGTTTAACTACTTACTATATGCAAAGAGAGAAAATAATTATAATGTTATTATAAAATTTAAGCTTACATATAGGCACTTGCACTTACATAATAATATGGGAGGCAAGAACATACAAACAAAATTTATGAACATTTAATAATAAAAGCCAATTAAATAATTTAATCTGTGGCATTGAGAAAGATTCCTATCATTGAAATGGTTATTATTTAAGCATCAATAAATTCTCTCATTAAGCATACGTATGAGAGGATAATAGCAAGTACAACAAACTCAGGTATAATAAACGTGTTACACATATGTGCTATACAATCGCTATACAATACAAAATGCTTGCCAACGATGCATGCTTGCATGTGAAGGCATAAAGCTATAAAGCAATATGTTCAACATATATATATATATATAAAAGTTGATCATAAAAAAGCTTATTTACTTAATGCATTGTTCACATATATACATATACATATACATACATACACATATATACATATACATAAATTTTTGTTTGCAAATGTAATTGTGCGCGTGTGTATGCATATATATATGTATGTGTGTGTGTGTGTGTGTGTGTATGTATCTGTGTGTAGATAAGTTAACAAATTAAGTAACTATCTTGGCCAGTGTCAGCGAAACTTTTAACCTTTTATATATATATATATATATATATATATATGCACACAAACACGTCTATGCACATATGTATATATGTGTATCTGCATGACATACACATATATAATTTAAAAAGTTTTAAAGATTGAAATTGTAGCACAAAATTACTTAAATGTTATTTTAATTGCTTCTGGTGGTGGAGGCAACGACGTAACATCTGATATACAGGAATAAACTTGTTTGCATTTTGGATTATTATCCGCAAACATTAAAATTTAGTACATAAACGAGAGCATGCATGCTCGTTCGCTTCTTTTTTTTTGTTGTTTTGTTTTTTTGCAGAAGCATTCTCGCTTGCACGCATAGACAAAATCTTAAATAGAAAGCAATTTAATTTTAAATGTTTCATGCAGTGATTAAACGAAACGAAATTTAAGCATGGAAAAATTCGAGGCATACACCCAGACTTATACATATACATATGCCCATATGAAAGCACAAGTGTGTGTTTATATCTAAATAACGCCCCAATAATTGTGCAATTAAAAGCATAATAACAGCAAGCGGAATAATTTATCGTTAATGTGTAACGAGAGCACTCAACGCGCTACGAAAGGTATAGAGGCACATAACGCACGAGTTGCATATCCGCACAAAAACACACACATGCTTACAGATATATCCTACCCCTTCCCCCCTCAGGTTAGCTAAGGGACATATGTAACATACATTTTATGTATGTTTGTGTTAACGTTGGCCTGCACCTATAACCAAAAGTGGGTGCGGATATGTTTATGTGTGTGCTTATGCAAGTATTTTGGTTTTTCTTTTTTTTCTTTTTTTTTTTTTTTGTTGATAAGGAGACAACTCATACAACACATACACTTGCACATTTGGTAACCACATACAATAACATTTGGTTTTCCATGTACTGTAGTACTACTACTGTACCGTCTGTCTGTCTCTCTGTCTGTCTGTCTGTCACTGCTTGTATCTAAAAATGCCTGCAGTTGCCTGCAAATGTGTTGTTCGTATACGCGTTTGTGTTAAAGTACAATACGTTAGCGAGAATTGTGCTGTAAAATTAATGTCATTTAAACACACCCCTGGCAGACAACCTAAGTATAAAATAGCTGGTTATGCAATAAAGACTCGCAATTGTAAGAATTTTTAATGTAAGATGCGTGTACTTTTGTTTGTGTGCTTGTGTGTGTGTGTGTGTGTGTGTGTGCGTCTAAGTGTTGGGGGACATGGTTACTTTCCTTTTTGTTTTTTCCTCCTCCTTTTGTCTCGCTTTTACACAGTCACACATATTACATTACGAATCTATGAGTTGCCGCAAGAATGAAAGGATAAAAATATAAATGGCAAAAATATGCAAAAATTCCTTTAAAGAAATTATACGACAATTGTTTTTGCCAAGATAAGTTATTTGCTAAGAAGAATATTCTTTAAAAATTTATCGTTAACTATGCTTGATATAAAAATTTTAGATATCTTTACAAGTGACATAAACTGGTCTACAGATTAAGTCCTAATATTATTTGAATCATCATTCCGGATCATGTCTATTCTGTCCCCTTTAATCTAATCCCCCTCAGATATAATACACTTGTAAAGGGATTTTTTTGCAAAGCTCTTCCAAAGATGCGGTCTGCATATCCTTAATCGTACGTCCTTTTATGGATCTTTTCAGTTTTGGGAACAGGAATAAGTCGCAGAGCAGACCAAGTCTGGTCAATGCGATGGCTTCGGCACGATGACGGCGTTGCTTTTGGCAAAAAATTAGCAGTGTCGTGATGCAACATTCATGACCGTTTTTTTTCTTTCTAATGCTTCACGCAAACGACGCTTAACTTCAAGGCAATGTTCCTTATTGACTGTGCGACCTTCTCGCAAGGACTCACGATGCACCACGTCATCGTAATTGAAGAAAACAGTGAGCGAAACTTTCATATTTGACCGAACTTGGCCTGTTTTTCTCGGTTATGGCTCGATTTTCTTGCCATGCAGCCATGTTTCTGCCACTAGTTACGACTTTTGCGAGCGAATCTGGAAAAATACAATTTAGCTAACAGAGGAAGCCGAGAGGCCCTGGTGGGTCCTGAACCGTTCTGTGAAGTACTAAGAAGCCTCACTAACAGGCTGGCATCACAATGGGCGCAGAATAAAGCGGACGCAATGTGCAGGACAACCGCAAGCAAAAATTCATTCATAAAATCTTCCGGCAGGGCAAACAAACTATTGAAGCTAAGAAGATGCGGCCTACATTTAGCCACTGGCTTCATAACCGGCCATAGGGGCATAACTCCCTCAGGTATCATCGGGAAAACATGGCCATATTTGATATCGATTCATGGAGACTATGCCAAGGGACGAGTGAAATGTCACAACAAATTTTATGTGAATGTGAAGTCAAGTGTTTGGCGAGCATTTTACCACGCCGGACACGGTGTGGGGCTCCGATCCAAAAATCCTAGAAGTGGAGAGCTAAGTGCATGGGCGAGTACAGTAGATCTTCTAGGCCGCGGTACATCTTGCCCAAATAATTAATAACAATAATAACACAGCAAAGCGGTCTAGTATACTAGGATTTTCCATGTTTGCAGGGTGGCTACCGCCCTTATATCTAGGAGTTTGGCATAACCGAAACCTGCCTTTCAACCACATGATTACCTCTCTGATCATCATGGTAATACTTTAAGCAGTCCTATATAAACTTTGTAATCAGTTATTTGTATTTGTATTTGTATTTTTTTTTTTTTTCTTTTCGATTTGCACAAATGAGTGTAAACAAAGGCAAAAAGCAAAAACGGGTGAATGACGGAAAAATTGACGAAAGCCTGCATTAAAAAAGCAATGAAATGTTTATGTAAATAAATTTATTTGACTGAAAGGTTAATAAACAAGTAATTAAAAATGTAATCAACAAGAAAAGCAAATAAAGATGAGAAAAGCAGCCAGTGAGTTGCACAACTTTTGTTTTTTTTTAAAGTTCGCTTAAACAAAACACTTAGTATTTTATGTTTTGCTATAAACTATGCTTGCAATAATAAATTTGCAAATATTTCTCTTGCATACGAACGGATATGAATGTGAGGGGCGAAGAAGGAAGGTTTCTTACATGTTAGTCCTTTCCATATGAAGCAATTAAAAGTCTTATCAATTTAATCTATTCCTGAACATTAAGCGAATCATTCTCAATGATATCGATCCAACTGTGGGTCGGTCGTTCCATTGGAGCATAGTCGGAGCAATAACATGCCAGCTTACATATGATATTTATTTATTTATTTATTTATTTATTTTAATTCTACTTATACATGAAACTCGACTAAACAAATAACAGTCGAGTTCAATTGGCACTTAAAGCAAAACTTGTATTAAATTAATAATAATACTTAGTATAAGTACAATAAAACAAATAAGACGGAAAAAAAGAAAAGAGAAAAAAGGAAAAAAAAAACATGTACATAACCAGCATAGAGCCACACTTACAACCGGTACAGGACTAAATTGCAAATGAACTTCTAAGCCATCGCAAACATGCATAACCCTGGCAACCGATAATACTTAACAACAATTCATTTTCCAATCGTAACTACTTTTAAGGATAAAAACTAGTTTGAGTAAGACGTAGGTAAATCGCGCGTATGCTATACTATATGCTATAACATAAAACGTGTAACGGATAACATTTGATATTTGAACTTTGTTTGGAAATTGAAAAAGTTTTCCTAACTCGTTAAGCGATAAGGCTGGCTTTAATTGGCAATAAAATTATCCGTTTATTTCTTCCTTTCTATTTAGGGCCGATAAAAATCGTGACAATCTATTAAACATTCAGGAGTTGGCTCAATATATAAATAAAAATATTGTTGATCACATTGACGAAGCTATACGATTGAATCCCCGTGAATTTCGACGGGTCGATATCACGCCCGCTGATGGTCTTATCACATGGGATGAATATCATCGTTTCTTTTTGAAGGAGCACGGCATGACCGAGGCCGATATCGATGAACATAATGAAATTAAACATACCGGCCTGAATCGGAAAGCTCGCGAAGATATGATGCGCGATAAGGCGAGATGGTCGGAGGCGGCTCGCACAGATTTATTTACTTTAACCATCGATGAGTATTTGTCGTTCAGGCATCCAGAATCGAGTATATCGAATTTATTGGAACTGGTTGATGATCTGTTAAGGCAATTCGATCAAGATGGTGATGAACAATTGACAATAGAAGAATTTTCGGAAGTAAGCGGCGACGACGATGATGATCTAATACGTAAATCATTGATATCGAAGACGGTGGTCGAACGTCGCGAAGAATTCAAGCGTATAATCGATAAGAATCACGACGGGAAGGCTGACCGGGGTGAACTGCTAAATTATGTGAATCCCAAGACTCCGAGATATGCTCTACAAGAGGCGGCGACTCTATTTAGTTTATGCGATGAAAATCATGATAACAAATTATCATTGGATGAGGTAAGTGAACAGAGAAAAAAAAAAAAATGTCTTCTATAAAATATTAATTCATTTTTTATTTTTGTTTTTGTTCGTCTACTTTCATCATTTCTAGATGGCGGCAAATGCTGAAATCTTTTTAACCTCAAAAATGATCGACACAGCTCATAGCTTTCATACAGAATTTTAATTAAGCGATTAACTCAAGTTTGTAGATTTAATAAGAAAAAGGAAAAGAATTCAAAAAAAAAAAAAAAAAAAAAAAAAAACAAACACACAAATTCACTCTTAACTTTTGCTGTGACACTTTAACATATCGCTCTTGTTCACATTTGCTCTCTACCTTTTTGTAAATATGAAAAACTTGATATATAAAATCCAATTTATTAAATTGTCTGTATGTTTGTACGTATGTACATATATTTGTAGCGAATCTCATTTACTTATTTGTGCCCCCATTGTCATATAAAATATCTTTCATTCCAGGTTATCTTGTACTTGTACATTTTGAATGTTCACATTCAGTCACATTATTGCTATCGTCTCTCTCTCTCTCTCTCTCTCTCTCTAAGGACTTTATAAGTGATATTACATAAGAATATGTTAAAAGCTTTCCATTTTGATTAAAGATACGAGTTTACTGAAATTCTTATTTTTTTTTATTTTTTCTCCTCTTTCTTTAGCTGCAGCATACGCACTTGGCAGACTGTGTGTGTGTGTGTGTTTGCCCCATATATTTTTGTATTTGTTTAATTGAAGTTAATTAAATAATAATCATAATAATAATAATAATAATAATAAGAGTTATGTAAGCAATTACTTAAACATAATGCATAGATTATATATACGACATATACACATTCTTTCATATACGTATATATATATATATATATATATATAGATGAAATTTTATTAAATAAAGCAAATATAAAAAGATTTTGTAGAAAATTTGAAATATTACGAGTCTTTGCGTCTTATTGGGCAATATATCAAACTTACAATATCATTGACAATTAAACAATTAAGTAAGATTTTAAATAGTTTACATCGAGACGGCTATTGAATTTTATTAGTGTTTTCAGTTTTTAAATAAATCTTTAAGAAATTTTACAGAGAATATGCTTGATATGATGCACAGCTCCAACGAGGATCAACTTTTTTGCTTCCCAATCCCATATTAGATCTTCTCTGCATGCTCTGCATATAGCTAAGGCGGGCAAAAAGCGCATTTTACGTAACAATATTTTGATCCTTCATTTAATTCTTTTAAACCCAACTGCATATCTAAGATGACTGAAAATTTAGCAAGATTTGAATTTGCCACCGCTGAGATGGGGTAATATGCCTAAAAATGGGACATTCCATGAGATGATATTGATGTGAACGATATTATGTGATTTCAACAAAATATTTCCTCGTCGTCCACTCTCCCGCTTCAACGATCAGAATTGACCCTGGATTTCTTTTTTTGTCGAGTTATTTGAAGTCGAAGCTCTATGCCAACAAGCTCACAACCATCGGTGCTCCATCGGTCCATCCAATGCAAGTGCAAAATGATCATAGAAAATTTCAATATAATAGTGCTTGCTTATGAGTCAACAAGGAGGACATCGATCCGATGTGTTGTTCCACACCTAATCCTATTCTATGCATATTATGATGCAATAAAAAAATTACAGCTCTATCTAATTCACATCTTGCGCAGAATTTTATGTATTAGGCGTTTGCAAAAATGTTGATCATTTTTTCAGTTGAAAAGGGGATTTATTGAGAAAAATTGGTAGAATGTATATAAAGCAAAATATTTTTCATCATTTTCTACAACGTTGCCCTACAATTCGATATTGTGTCGAAAGAATTTATATTGATTTGACAGCGACCCATCCCTTGATCCATTGTCGGACTTCTTTAACTTTCCGGATCCACATGCCCGCTGCCAAGCCATATCTGCTGAGTACGCAACGGTATATCGTGGACAACTCTTGCAACCAAAAAAAATAAGTTGAAGTACCTTCACCATAACCCTCTGAAGGTGTTTGGTGGTCTTGGGCAGCAGATTTTTTCAAATAAACAACAAAAGTAATGAATTTGGAAGAAGAAGAACTTTGAGCTCGCTACAGTTGGCGTCTGCATGCATTGAATAACGAATTGAATATCAATAATACTAAACTGTCTTTTTAGGTAGAGGAAGATCGAAATCCTCGAATTTAATCGTTATGTAGACTGGTATTTCCCATTTCTTTACCATTTTTCCTACAAAAGTCTCTGAGCAAAATTTTTGCAAACACCTAATATTACCAAGTAAGAACATTGCCCTACACCGCTTCATCTAGTACAGTCGCTACATTATTTCGGCAATAATCCATAAAAAGCTCGCACTTTAAAGAATGACCAAAACATTATATGACGTGATCCGAATTTAGCGAATTTACTTAATTTACATCCTAAAAATTTTATTAGTTTTCAGTTTCCGTCCTAGAAAGTTAGATCTTAGACCTTTTTTCCATAAAGGGAAACGTTTTTCTTAACGACTTTCACATTTGTTACCTTTGCGAACCAAATTCGCTATGGGTAAATTTAATGAGACTTTTTTGGCATACAAGGGTCTACATTTCGTGAGAGTCCAAAAAATAGACCTATGTAGTCCGAATTCGGTACGATTGATTTCTTTGTGAATTTACTATTGCGAAGTAATTTTCACCATGAAATATTGAAAACTAGATGTGTTTACCATATAGGAAGGTTTATATGAGGGCGTGTTCAAGTATTTGCCCAAGTCGAGAAAAACCTTTTAGATTTGACGAAAAATTTGGAATATTTTTTCTATAAAATGACTTCTCAAAATATTCCTTCGTAGGGGGGGAGTCGTGAAAGAAATGAACAAATGAAATGAATGAAAGAAATGAATCCGAACCATTTTTAACAGGATTCCTTCTTGAGGCAAAAGAAGTCATAAAAATTGCGACATGTAGGACGAGCAAGCTTTGAATCATTTTCTGAACCGTTCGGTGTAATAAAAGGTACATTTGTCTTAAGTCCTTCTGGATGTTACATTTGTCCGCACAAGCTTAATATGACACAAGTGGTGTAAAGTATAGTAAAATAATTTCTCTTAACATTTAATTAGCATCAATCTTGTGTCAAATCCAGTCATGGTATTTCGGCATATCGTTTGAAAGTTGATACCATCTATACGTATCTGTCTATCTATAAATCATATGGATTCATAAACAGTGACGTGCCAAGCTACAAATTTATTCAATGATATATTATGTAATGTAGAATAAATAATTTATTGGAAAAGAAAGCAAGTAAGGATATTATAGTCGGGCGGCTATCCAAAATCCCCCCAAAAAAAAATAGACCTACGTAATCCAAATTATTTTTTGCTGAAACTCTCCTATTAATTATTAAGATATCATGAGATATCTTATATGGAATGGGGGAAGAAATAGATCAATTAATGTGCTTCAAATTAGTTCCCCTTAATTTTTTTATTTAATTACTATCGTAAACAAACTTTTATTCAAAAAATAGAGCTATGTGGTCCAAATTCATTTCACTTTTATGAGTCAATTTTCACCGTAAAATATTCTTTCTTATATAAAACTTTGGCACTGAACATACGCAATCAATTTATTCACGAACAATTTCAAGTTTTCAAAGTAAAACAAATAGAGATAATATGCTGACTTAGGCTGACCTATATTACAATGATATATGATTTATTGTAACAATTCTGTTCTGAAAATATATCATCAATGCAAAGAAAGTCAAGTATAGGGTAGTAGCTCAAACAGCACCTAACTTAGATAGAAATTCTTTTTAAATCGTACACCGCTTGTGTTAAAGGGTATATTAAGTTAGTGCGGTTGTATGTAACAAGCAGAAGAGCTTAAAATAGACCCATCTTTTATTATACCGATCGATTCAGAATCATGATCTGAATTGATCTAAACATGTCTGTCCGTCTATCGTCTATTCATCTAAACTTGCTATACATTGACGTGTTTTAACCCGAGGACAAACGCTATTCAAAATGGTTGGAATCGGGCCACTTGTTCGGACATTCTCCGTACAACGCTCTATTCTGAAAAACCCTTTAGGGGAAAAAATTGCAAGGTTGATAATTTCTCGGCAAAAGTGGCTAAATAGTAGTAGTAGTTTCGGCGATCTAAATTGATATGGTAACTTTAGATCGGCTGGGGCAATTTGTGAACCCCCTCTCGTATAACGAAAAATGTATACGGTGAAAGTATTGAAACTTATATCGTAACAGCAATTTAACATAAAAAAATTAACTACAACAAATTTGGACCAGCTGGGCCTATTTTTTTGATCCTACCATAAGAATTTCACTGAAATCGATCCTTTGTAGAGTAGAAAAGAGCGAACCTTTAATACGTTATGATGAAAACTTCCTCACTACACAACTTCCTCAATTGTTGAACCTCCTTGAGCTGCTAACTTAAGGCAATAATTAGTTTATAAAGAGGTCTAATTTTTAATATACAGTCCCATCGAAGCATATTCCTATGATAACAGGATATATAATTTTGGCAGTAATAAGAACTGTATTAAACAATGTGTCGTAAGGTATGCAATAGTCGGTCTAAAATGCCTATAATATTTTGACTTGTTTTTTGCTATCAAATTACCATAGAATTTTAGATATTGGAGAGAATGTCTAGTTAAGGTTTTGTTGTTAGAAATGAAAAAAATTTGTTCTTCTATTTACAAAATAAAAATGGAAAGTTATATGGTTTATGTTGTTGTACATTATGAGTAACAAGTAATAAAATACGGAAAGCAAAGACATTCACAGCAAAGCCATTCACAGTTTTTGTTGCATAGGCATAGGTGAGTGTTGTAGGCGTATCCTTTCACCGATTTGGATCATCTTCAAATTCTTTTGCAAACTCGTACGTGATATGCGGAAGGAGAGATTGACAGACGAAGACACGGACTTACTTAGATGCTTTCCGTATACGTATTATAAAGGTATTGTAATTATTGTTATATAGGCACTACTGCCGATAGCGTATACGTTCGAGTATTCGTAGATTTATCTGCTACAGTTTATGAGCAATGAGAAAGAAAAAACAATTTTTGAAAAAGTAAGAATCCTCTCACATTACGTAGTGCTGTACCTGTGTCCTTCGAACTATTTAGCCCCTTTTTTTGTCAAATTTTAATCAGATGGCTTCATTTTTACGACCCGAAGAATATTTGCATCAGACATTATAGAGACGAGCGGACAGCCAAGCGGGCAGATGGACAGTTGAGCAGACGGACCTGCTTCGTACATACTTTGTGGGGTCTCTGAAGCTTCCTTCTGGGAATTGCAAACGTTTTGGCAAAATGAACACGCCCCCCATCCTTCGACAGTGTGTACATATCACTTCCCACAAAACGATTACATTCACGCGGTGGAGGTGATAAAATGTGTAATATATATATATATATATCAATCCATCTAATGACCAAACTTATTAAGGTCCAAACTTCGCATTTACATTAAACCTTTCTTACTCAAGTCGCTAAATTT